CGACGGGACTGCAGTCCTCCTCACCACCCAATCTCAACTGGGAAGGTTTTATTTTCACTGATACCAGTCCTGGTTTATTTTCTCCTTAGTTAAATACATTTAGACATTTGACTACTCGCATTGAGACATAAAGCCTTGAGCTGCTGATAAGCACAATCCAGCCTCGGCAGGGTGAAAACCTGAATCTTCTAACAGAGATAGGGATAAGTGGAAATACAACTTTAAGTCTTTGAAGCTATAAATTGAGATCTCCCTATTATATAGTGATGGTTTTTACTGGTAACTGTCCATCTGCATCAGTTCCCAGCTTAGGAGTATTTTCCTCTGACTTTTCGTTTTCATTTTCCCCTTGAGTCCATTCCTGCTTTCCAACTTCCTTTTCTGATGCTTGTTGAAAAGCACATTATTATGGATAGCACCTGCTGACTGGTAGATTGTCTTGCACCTGCTCTTAGCTTTGTTTTGGAGCAGCCACAGAGGACTTTGTGACAAGCAGCAGAGTTCATCCCTCCCTTCCCCTCTGCGCTATTCCATCAGCTCCTGGAATTTTTTTGCCAGTACTTTTTCTGAAACATAATAGTCTGTGACTCTCCTGCAGATCCCAGGGGAGCTTCTCCCGCACCTGGGAATCAGTATCCACCTGCAATTTATTGGTAGAAAATATATATCAGCTTTCATTTTTTCCCCCATTTCAGATGAAGATTAAGAACCAGGATCCCTGCACATGATGTGCCAAAAGTCTATGTTTGACAGTGAAACTTCTATTGCTTACCTCTGAGAGGTGGAGGAGACACAACCCCAAATCCACCTGCTGAGGACACTGTACCTGCAGGGTGTAGCTGATGGAGTGACTTTTATTTCAAAGCTGGTTCACAGGGCACTCTCCCACCACACTATGGTCCAACCACCTGCCCAGCTCTTGAGAGCTGCCTGCAGCAATGCTGTCCTCCTTATGGCCAAAGTTTTCAGCTTCCCGGGCCCTTTCTGTTCCCAGCTTCTCCCTTTTTCTTATACACTCCGCTTCCCCAACACATCATGGACTAGAACTTCTCCCTCTGGAGGAGCAACATTTTCCTCCTCCAGATGGTCCATTTCTTTCAGACAATCTCTCCACTAAAGTTTTACTTGCGAGGCACAAATTTTGAAACTCTTTCTTATATCTTTAGAAGACACCTATCTGGGTCTTCTGCTTATCTTCTGCAGCAAGCACAGATGGCAGCATCGTCTGAAGGTTGTCAGGTCAGCATCCCTGCTTAGCAGGAGCCTTCAGCTGGTCTCACCAGGCTGCACCAACGTTGGTGGAGTTTCTGTACAGACAGCTTGTGCATCTTCACATCTTCCTGTTCTCTGGTGTGTCCCACGAGTCCTTAAATACTTTAAATACTTTGCTTCTGTCACACAAACTATGAGAAAGAGTCCCCAAACTGGCACGTCGCTCTCATCAACCTTCTGTCAAGCAGATGTTCAGCTACAGGAGCGTTGCATGACGCATTGTCCTGATGTGAAACTAATTCCTCGTGCCTCCAAATCACAAGAGGAGGTGTTAAAACCTAAATAAATAAATAAAATATAGCCACTAGTCAAAAGAGAGAAGGACGGGAGGGAGGAAACATGCTTGTTAAAACTGCCAGGCACCCTGGCAATTAGTCTCACAATGGCATAATCCTGATGAGCTTCCACATCTCCTATTACACTTGGTACTTAGTGTTTGTTAGCATTTTACTCCATCTGCTTCTATACAATCTCCATCAGCTGAAGGAGGATATGGTTACTCCAGTCATTAATTGTTGATATCCTCTGTTGCTTGTGGTAGGTATTTGTTATGTTAACTGTTAATTTTCCTCCTCACTCTTGGAAGTGCTTTTTCCCCTACTAGCACCCAGGCATTTGCTAATGATAAAATTACTCCTCTTTTTATTAAGATGTTGACACCAGTGTGATTTGCAAGTTCAGTAAAATATGGTTCATTAGTCTTCACTGCACTTTTCCTGAATGGAATAAACAAAATTTTTTCCCATTATGATATTCAAATTTTTAAATGCATTAAGTTCTGGGATTTACTGATCAACTATTCCTCATTAGAAGGGATATCTCTTGTTTTCAGACCAAATCTACTCTTATTCTTCTAAAAGGAAATAATATGCTTTCATTTTCATTAAAGCCAGTTAGAAATAGATTTAAGTGGATAAATATATTTGACATTCTTTGCCTTTCCATTTCTCTTTTGCCAGCAATGCCAAACAGACTGTGAAAAAGAGAATTAATTCATTATCCCAAGATATTCATGAAGTTCTCTAAGCTTCTGATTCTTGGACTGCAGGTCATTAGCAATCATTAATTTTTAAAGCTACGGATGACGTCCTCTGAAGCAGATATCATACGAAATAAACACATCTATTAATGTGGTAGTAGGATGAAGCTTGGGAAGATGAAAGTGTATGGAAAAGCAGAATTTTAGCTATGCAAAGACCTTGAGTATAAACTGAGGCAGTGCTTGGCTTCAGGCAGTTATACTATGGTATGGCATAACACAGAGTATGAGGATTATCATTGTCCACTCTAAAGACCTACAAGGTGGTCTTCTGCATCCTTCTACTTCTGCACTCCAAGCAGCCATGAAGTGGTAATTAACATTTATACAGCTTTTGTCCAGTCACACCATGGTCAATGTGTTTGAGCGTAGAACATTTTGAGGTTTTCCTTTTTCCTTCCTAACAAATGCACACAGCTCTCCCCATTTAAGAGTTAAACATGCCTGGACTACCCCAATAATGACTTTCCTTTTGAAGTTTCCATATAATGATTAACCTGTATTATTATGTAGTGCTCCTAACCTAAGAAAAGATATGAGAGCTCAGGATTGTTTGAATGCCAACTAGGATATCTGTGTTAATAGTCAAACCATATGTCCTCCTAGAAGTATGATGTTGATTGTGACCTCAGAAGAAATCAGGCCTGCTTATGGCAAATATATGGAATTGATTAAATGAATAAATAACCCTATTATTTAGTTTTGCATAAAAATATGTGGGACCCAGGTCAAAGATAATCCCTAATTTTTCTATGCATAATAGATTCCAAAGTGTAAACATTACCAGTAGCATGAACCAGACTAGATGCTTTAAGTCAACAGTCAAAGGTGCGAGTGTAAACTCAGAAATATTGATAATGTTTGTGAATAACTTCAGACTAAATTATACTGGAGTTCCCAAGCTGGTATGAGTGCCTCTGTTGTTTTAATACTCCAGTGTCTATTATATGTATGAGTTCAAAGACTGACCACGGTTTTCACGTTGGAAGTTTCTCTGTAATATTTGGCACCTTTGCTTTATTTCAGAACCTCCTTCTGTGCCAGAATAGCATAAGTTATTGAGGCACTGAAGTATGTTTTCCTTCAGCCCCTACCCAGATACTCTCTATTGTCTGATCATGATCCTTTCCATCCTTGATTTCTTTATTTTTTAGCTTTGGTGCAGAGGTTCTGAGCCATACAGATTACAGTCTGCAGATCTGATCTTTCTTCTGATCAACACCATGCAGGAAGGAAGGTCCTGCTCATCAGGGCTCACAGAGTGGGACAGAGGGGCAGCAGGGGTACAGGAGGTTAAAGCACCCTCTTAAAAAATAGCAGTACGAATTACTATCTTGTCTGAAAACACAGGCCAGGCATAGTGACACACTGCCTGTTGTGGGTTGCATTGCATTTGTTTGTGTTTTGCTCCGCGTGCCAAAGACTAAATTATGAGTAAAACATGAAACTTTGATTTTTCTATGAGGCCACTAAGAGATTTTCAGTCCAAATCTCCGCTTCTCAGATTAATTATGAGAGTAATAGGTGTAAGACTGGCAGAGCACCTACAAATTATCCAATAGGCACAACATGATGTGAAACCTCGCCTAACTGCATGAGAAGGGAATAGGAGCAGCTTCACCCCCCAGTAAATTTGAATTTAAGAAATGTCAAGAAGTTGCTGTGTTGAAACATTCTTCCTAGCAAATGATAGTGAACATTAGAGTCGATGTTCAAGAATTTGGACTGGCTGATGAATAGCTATTTTGGTTATTTAGCAGTTTCTTTACATTCATTGTTTAAATATGATTTCATTTCTGTCTCCCTCCAGCACAACTTCAGGCAATACGTTTAAACTATAATTTAATGCATGCAAATATAGTAATTATTTTCAGTAGGTGTTTGGGTTGTTTTATTTTATGCAATTCTCTAATTAGCATAGTCATCCTGTATTCTTTAGGTACCCTCAGTTTAGTTTTTGCAGCGTTTCCTAGCAAATTATGGTATGGTCTGAAAAACTATATGATTTGGATTATATATTTGCAGTTCCCCAAAATGTGCACTCTGTGCTTTACAAACAAAAGGGGGGGGGGGAAAAAAAAGAAGAAAAGAATCCAGGGTAATAGCTGAGAAATTCTTTTTGCTATCAGCAAAAATAAGCACTGCCTTGATAAATTTATTCAGCCACTCCTCCACCAAAGGTAGGACATACACTTACATGGTATCTAAATACAATTTGTGTGTGTGAAATACAGCCCAATGTGTTGGAGAGATGGACCAGATCCAAAACCCACTGTAATGAGAGGGTAATGAGAGAATATAATATGCCATATTTTAGGTGTACAACTATGTAAATTAGTGCTGTGTAGGTACACAGGTGTGGGAGTGTGGGCACGTGTCCTACCTGCACATCTGCATACTCACGCACACATACACAGCATTTTTCTACACACACAGTTTGTGCCCAGGGCTGGCACGGCGTCCTTGCAGGATATTTAACCTTGCTTTGAGTTTAACCCACTGCCTGATGCATTTAGAGCCTGTTTGTCACCATTCTGGTGCAGAGAAGTGAATGTGGAAGTTATGGGTTTGGTGTTAGGTGATCTCTGGTGGGGAGAGGGGGTTGGCGATCCCAAGTGAGACCACTTAAAGTCCTGCAGGGAAGGGGTTGTGGCAGGAAGTCACCGTCTTGTTTGTTTTCCTTTTTTAGAAGTCAGCAAGCCTGAAGGAATCACATCGCCTTGAAGCCACCGCAAGGACACGGAAAGTGGTTGAAAACATAACTCAGCCTCCTCAGCGAGCACCTGGCTGTGCCCTCACCCAGAGGAGACTGTGGAAAGCCCAGTAAGTGGTTTTAAGGTTTAAGGTTTTAATTCTGCCAAGGCTTTCAGGGAGAAGCCAGCATGCAGGGATGGTGTGAGTTTACAGTGTGTTGGCTGCTTCTGTGCTCATGCCCCACATGGACGCTCTCAGTCCATGCTAAAGGACTGAATTCAGCAGTTTTAAAGCTGAGTGGGATGCCTTGTGTGTCAGTGGGCACCTAAGGGTTTGGTGAAGGGACATTAGTCTGCACCCAGGAAAAGTAATTACCTTTTGTACAGAAGAGAAGCCCTCAATAACATTCCCTCAGTTACCTATACAAAAGTTAGACTTCTGCCTAAATTGCCTTTTTAAGCAGAAAGCCTAGAAAACAGGGATATGGATGAGTGGAGTTTTTATCATCAGAGAGTCATTGCTTGAAGCAAATTTTGTCTGTCTGGTTCCATAGCATACCTGGGAGTTGCGCACATATAACTCATCTATTGCTCTCAGCCCCAGTAAATATATTTAAAATGCTGAGCAAATGGATTGGAATGACTCCATATGAGTCTGGAAATTTCTGTTGCTTCCAGTCATTTAGTTTTTTGGAGGCGATCTTTAACTTGAGAGCTAAATTACTGCCTGACATAATAGCTTATGGTGCAAAAAGACAACTGTCTCTTTTGGAGTTCAACTGTCTCATTTGGAGTTCATCTCCAAATGAAATTGCTATGAGACAGTAAAAACTCTTTGTTATAAATAGGCTTTTCTAGGTGGGATGTTGTAATATCCCGTATAATGGAGAAAAATGCCATTAATTGCGTTCTTTGTTGTGTTATCCTGCATATAAATCACCAATGCTCCAAACAAAATGATTTAGAAGCTAAGAATAGTTCTAATCAATAATTTACTACATTAATGCAGACTTAAACCTTTAAAGTAATGTCTTAAAGACCTTTGAACAACACATGCAGTATCCTGTCTTAACAACCAGTCTGCACAGAGGACAAAAACCCACTGCTGTAACCTTCATATCCTTTGCTCAGCTGCCAGACGTCTCTGCTTAGAGAGCTCTGGAACTTCTGGAGATGATGAATGTGAGCAACCAGCCCCCAGAGCCCCTTCTGAGCACCCTAGGCCTGTTGAACACCTGCACATTCTCTGTGGTGTTTGACCTCTTGCCATGGAGAAAGATGAACATCCAGGCTGCCCCTCCGTGATGGCAAGGAGGAACATATTTGTTGTAAGTTAAATGAGATCTTAATATGACACTCAGAGTTGTCTCTGGGGGTGTCTGGAGGAGGGGGTGTGCTTGGCACTGGTAAGAAGGGAAACGTAGTTTATTTGACTGAGCTCCCGCTGTAGCAGGGGGTAGAAGGTGGAGGCACCAGCCATCACTGCCTCAGAGCTGCACTGTTTTCAATATGCAATTATACCATCCCTAAAGGTAAATAGAAGGCTTGTGTGTGAGAAATATTTCTGTAAAATAGTTTGCAGCTGAAAAGATAACACTATTCCCTGCCTCCTACTTTGCCGTACAATTTTAATTATGTCAGGGAATCTCTCCTATTTTATATTCCATATATATTTATGGAATAAGCTGTTGGCAAATAGGACATTATTTCAAATAATTTAATGTATTTATTAAAAGAGATTACAAATCTATCCAGGCTATAGTCATTGCACTTAGGGCAACTATTATGGCTATATTATTGTTCCATTTATTTCAAAATATCTTTGGCAAGGACTGCTCCTCCATGAACAGTGTAAGAAAGAGACTCTCTGTCTGATGATCTGCCCTTCTGGGTGGCAGAGGGCTCTGCTGTCCCCTTTTCCCTCCCAGCCCCATCCAGATAAGCACGAGCCGCAGGTTCAGAGGAGGGCCAGGGCACAGAGGAAGAGCCTGATACACCCTGGCTTGATTATTTTATTTGTGCTACTCAATTTTTGCTCATAGCAGAATGGAGATACAGAGACGGACCCAAAGACATAGTCAACGAGAAGCTGCTGAGGAACACGAGGGTCCCTGTACATCCCCTGAGGACTGATGGAGGAATCCAAGGATGCCAAAACTCGTCCCTTCAGCAGTGCCAGTTTTTGTCCCCACATTCAACCAGAGGACAGGAGACTTCCCTTCGCAACAGAGGTACAGTCCACCCCAAACATGATTGACTCTGGTCACTGGTGAGAAACTAGGTGAATTTTTCACAGCAGGATGGTGATTGCAGAGGCCACATGTTTACCTGCTTGTACTCAGATTCTTGTTCCTTGGATGTGGGTGTCCTTGAACTTCCTTTGAATAGTCTGCAAAAGATGATGAAGGAATACCAGGCTTGTCAGTGGGTTTAACTTCACAAAAAGAGTCTGAAAAACATCTGGTGCTGCACAACAGGAAAGCTAGAGAACTGCTGTGCACACACAGTTGCAGAGCTACAGCAAGAGCAGGGGAACTAAAAAACCTTGTCTGGGAACTAAAAAACCTTGTATGAGTAGGAGCAAAATCCAACGTGCTGTAGAATATGACCAAAAACCATCCCAGCTGATGGGTGGGATGGGGGAACCAGGGTCTGCACGCGGTCACTGCCCTGCTCACACACACACAGGATGGAGAGGAGAAGAGGGGAGAGTCATAGACAGTTGTCACCCTGTGCCAAATGGAGCCTTGCTCCAGCCCTGACTGGGGATCTGCCACTAGTAATGGGCTACAAAGCCCATTGCACTAGCATGCCCAGGACCAGTGAGCCTAAACAGAAGGGCTGGTCTACATTCATCACCATTATTGTTGTCGTTATTGTTGCTATGATTATTTCTGCAGCATTTTTACTCTGTTGATGAAAACAGAGTTGTCATTCCTAATGGGCAGCCCCCACGTAGCAACTACCATGAAGTGTTATAAAGCTGCTCATACACCTAAGGGTACCTCACTGGTGACACAAGCACTTTCACCTACAATGAGGTAAAAGAGAGGACCGTGTCCACCATCAAACAAGTGCAAAATATTGTTCAGACTGAGTGAACCTCGAGCGTTCAAAAACCAAAGGATGAATGTGTCCAGTGTCTCTCATGTCTCTAGAGCAGCTCCCAAAGTGTCTCATGCTGAAATGCAATTACTGCCAATGTCTAAGGTATCATTTGCTGCTTTTTAATCAGTATCTACAACTTTCTTGGATTTTTCAGAGGTTTGACATGGTATAGTCAAATACATAACTGTATGTGATAGGTTTATTTAGTGCAATAGATTCTGGCTAATAAGTTCATCAATTGGTACATGCCTTAAGAAAGAGTTTAAGTAAACCCCACATGTGTGAGATTAACTATTGTTAATCCCGCTGTTAGTAGCACCTGTGTGCCTTACTCCAGAGCCCCTGTGCTCATCACAGCCTCTCCGAAACCCTTGCTCTCTCACAGGACATGGCCCCAGCCCTGGGAGCACTTACAGACCCACTCAAGTGCACTGGGCTGTTGGTTTCACTTGGAGGAGCCAAGGTCATAAAATTAAACGTCTTTATAACTGTTAGTAGGATTAGAGCTATAATAATATTTTGGGTGCTTCCTGCCTTCCTGAACTGCTGCCACCGCTGCTGCTTGCTTGAAATAACGTAACCCATAACATATTTTATAGGTTTCCAACCTTTGAGCAGGACGGATTAGAAAGGAGGTTAATTATGCATAAGATAGAAAGATTTATGTAAATATAAACCCAATATAATGTATTATTTACATACAGCCTGTACTTACTCTAAGTAACTTCTAGAGAAATCTTGGCTGTCACGAGCAGCTCACACCTCATTTCTGAATCTTAGTCCAGAAAAGAGAGGAGGATTCTGGCTACCTTAAATTGCTGCTTATATTTTCTAGACTAGGGCATATTTGTATAAGAACATAACTCAGCATAGCTTAACACAGATGGACAACAAACAGGATAAATCTCTATCATTTATTACATTTGCCTAGCGATCAAAGGTGTCTCACTAGACATTTTTCCTCATTGGTTGTTTGCATTAGATATGCAAATCTTCTTTCTTCCAGACCCATTTCCGAATATATTTGCAAGGCTATTGATGTCCATTACTTCACTTAAATATAGATCAGAAATACTGACAAATATTTTCATTCAAAGAGTTTGATCATTTTCAGATTACTCTCCATGCTAGTAATTAACCTCAGTCAACACCCTTCCATAGCACTTTCAAACACAGTTCCTAGCAAACATAAAGTTTCATAAATATGTACTAAATAACCTTAAAGCCCTTTATGAATAATTATGAGTTTTTAAGTTTTTGTGAATCTGCATATTAATTCCCTTCCATAAATAATACATGAAGCAAAAATCCAGCTTGTTTGGTGTCTGGGGACAGAGGAAGAAAAGGAGGGGATAATTATCAGTTTAATGTGGGAAAATACTTAACCTAAAAGATTATCTTCAAAACTGATGACTCCATAAGTTTGTGTATATGTGTGTATAAACACACATATATAAAAAAATATTTTTAAAGATGTGTACAGCTGCAGACACAGTTGAGATGTGCATCCACTCTGAGAGAAGGCTCTCATTTGAAGCACGTTACGCCTCTGCTGTGCCATGCTGAGCTGTTTAAGTGAAAAGCAACGCGAGGAGCTTAGCCTCCATATAGTCCCTCTTCCTATAAATGTACTACGTTCCCCCAAAGATAGAAAATTAATGAGAGGCTGCTGACTAAAATTACCGCATTTTGCCTTCTGTGGGACATCGTGGATTTAAAAGATAAGAGAGAGTGCAGCAAGTCCAAAAACAATTTCATTTCATTAATCCCTTAAGTGCCTCGGGAGGAGCAGCCCATGTCCAGCAAAGGTGATGTTACAGCAGCTCGTGCACGTCATCCGCGCACGGTGCCCTGCACGCTCTGCTTCTCCCCTCCGGATGGAAGGCATCCAATAAAAAGGTGGAGTGGGAATGATGTATGGCTGAATGGTCTTAGACTGATGCTTCCTGGATGCACACTGACAATAATAGGAACCGTAAGGGGGGTGCAGAGCCACACGGCTTTTTCAGTAAGAGTTTACAGTAAAGAAAAGGCATTTTCCACTCAACTGTTTTTTCCACGTAACCAAGTGGAAACTATTATTTTTCGCAGAACCCAAGAAGCTATTACATGTTTGCCTTTGTCACAGGACTGTAAACGGTGTATATTTGGGAGAATTGTATTGATTACTGCATCTTTTATAGACGTGATTGTTTAAGAAGATCAGCATAGCAAGATTTGTCAGATGAAGTACAGCAGATGTGTTTGGGAAACACATACAGATTTTGGGCAGCTGAAGTAGAATTTTTGTGTGTGAAACCCTGTCTGTACCTCACTGCCAGGAATTTATAGTTTGTACAATATTTTAAGAGAAGATTATCACATTCAAATTCTATAATTTTAAATGAAGAACTCCATTTGTTTTTTACGTATTAACCCACCTACAAAATGAAAATACATTTAGCTTTCCCTTTTACCTCTTTGAGATCTATTTTGCTTTATGGTCCCATTCAGCGGTTGGTTTGAAGCATGAAAGGTGACACCCAAACCTCTTAATGAAAACGAGCAACTAAATAGCAAGCCTGTTCGCTTGGCTTGAGCAGAAGCAGAAAGCAAAAAAAAAGGGAAAGTAAACTTCTAGAAGAATTTTGAGAGGTGCAAGTGCTCTATTGCTCTTTTCTAGCACTGCAGCATCCCCGGAGGAATGCCTCCTGGTGCTGTGTGGGTGGCAGAGAGGTTGGCCACCTTATACACAAGGTGATGGGAGCTGGAAGCTTTTGTGTGTCTTGTCCCTCTTCTTCCTCCTTGCTGGATTTGTGACTGGTGTGAATTTTGTGTGTGCACGGAAGAAGCAAGATGGAAAAGAGCCCCCACTGAAGTGGCTGAATCAAAAGCTCAACCTGAAGCTGCTCTCAAACTTTCTGGGGGTGGAGGAGTGACTTGTGGAAGTTTGGTAGTACTACAAATCAAAAGCTCAACCTGAAGCTGCTCTCAAGCTTTCTGGGGGTGAAGGAGGGACCTGTGGAAGTTTTGGTGGTACTACGTCCCTTCACGGTAAGCCTGTTAATTAATCATAAAGACTCAGCTGGAACTACTGTCTGGGGAAAAAAAAAAAAAAAAAAAAAAAAAAGCAGTACCCCAAATTTGTTTTCTATTAGAAATAGGACACAGAGTTGAATGAACTATTTTAAAGGCCAGTATTGCAGTTATTTGGGAATCCATCTCCCCTGAAAACTGAGAGGCCATTAGGAATTTGTGAATTAACTATTTTTATTGCACGGGGAAAAAAAAAAAAACCACTAGCCCATAAAATATTTAATTGCTGTTGCTGTGTTTCATGGAAGGCAAGACTTCTTGCCTCTGAAATGCTTTATGTGGATACAAACCTGTTGATGAGTGGTTTAAGCTAATTCTTATGTGTGCTGGACTCATAAATTCATAGACTTCAGTATGAACTCAGCTGCAGCCTGTGTTATTGGTTAAACTGTTTTCATCTCAAACCCACTCTGAATCCCCAACAAAAATAGTAGGCCAGATGCCCAGACTGCAGCTAGAGACCCTCATTAGGCATCATTTGCATCCTATTAACCACTGAGATGTGGGTCATTCGCTGCCTGTCAACCATTCAAGTCATTCCTTTTGTGTTAATTAGTAGAGAAATAAGGAGTTAATGAAGATCTTATGATCTGTGATGATTCATCTTTGTTGTTTCAAACGAATCCCTGCTCTCTGAGCACTCCAATGAGCTCCTACACACCGAATAATAGAGAAATAGTCAGAGGGAGCTTACGGCGGCCTTTGGAGTGTTGTTCTCCAGGGACCTTTTGCATGGTGGGCTTTGTTAGCTAAAGATTAGAAGGAGTTAATTGCTTCAAGATTGCTAGCAGATTGGGTTACAGGGTGTGTTGTATCTATGTAAGCATATGTCAGGTCTAGTTAAAAGATAGAAGATGCTTATTTTAATAAAATTACGAAAGAAAGAATTAATTTGTCATTATAGCAAAAATCTTATTTCTACTCTTAATTTGAGCACTAACAGATAAAAGCAGTGCTGGTTTTGCTCTCTCTTTCCTTCTCAGAAGGGGAGAGAGTGGCTCTTTGCTGGCCAGCATGGCTCCCTAGGCTGGTCCCAGGCTTTGGACCGACTCTCCATCCCCATTTGCAGAGGATAGAGCAGGGCTGGGCTCTGCAGGAGGCTGCAGCTCACATCTCCTGTGCCTCCTCTTCCTCTGGCTCCAAGGCCATGAGGGCTCATGGGCTCTCTAAAGAGTTTTCCAACTCTCCTCCCTGGAAAGACTGTTTTTCTTGGAATGGACCTGAAGCCTCACCCCCTTCAGCCGGGATGGTGATGTCTCTTCCACTGGGCCTCTTCCAGCTCTGACAAAGAGAAGCAGCTCCTTCAACCTGAGGTGCACATCTTGGGGTTTGCTCTTTCTTTAGTGCTCCCAGAGCCCTGTCACTCCAGGGAGCCACCAGTGCCAGACCTTTCCCGGGCTGCACCAGCCAGCAGGTACCATTGGTGGCATCTAGTGCCAGCGGGAAACTCCTCTTTTCAGACTCCTAATTTCAAAAATAACAAACAAACAAACAAAAACTCCACAGTCCCCTTCCTCAAAGCAACTTCCTCAAGACTCAAAGAGGAAAGAGTTCCTGCATCCACACCAGCTCTGATCCTCAGGTATGTTTATTTTTACAACTGAGAAATACCATTGAAAGCTGTATTTCTTCATCTCCTATTTGCCTCCTCTGGAGCAGAGACACTGGCTCAGGATCCAGGTGCAAAAACCTGGCACAGCTGGAGAGGTTAATGCCTCTTCTCCCTCCAGCCCCTTGCTGTGGGCTGCTGCTTCCAACAGCAGAACACTAGAACGTGCATGGACCATCATCATTTATAGCCTGGATTTATACTAAAATAAACCCCAAATTTAATATTCTGGGCTGTAAACCAAAGTAGGTCAATAAAGAACAGCTTCTTGATGTGGAGGATAGTTGCTGCTCTTCTTGCCTTGGTGGAATAACTTCTGGAGAGAAGCTCTCTAAATTGGCCTCCTTGTGCTGAGCTTCTCAGCAACTTTATGAATTCCCATAATGGGGGAGACATGGACCAAGGGCATCAGGAGCTGCTTCAGGACAAGAGATAATTGTCCCTCTTCTTCCTCCTTGCTGGATTTGTGAATGGTACATTAGAGCTTTTAGGAAACTAGTGTCTTGCTTTTATTTTATAGAAGAAAAAGCTCAGAATTAATTATTTAGGTTTGCCAAATATTGTGAAAGTTTTTGTTTAGACCTTTTTTTTTTTCCTGTACGTCTATCAGGTGGAAAATAAAATTAATTATTTGTTCAGCACTATATTAAAGTGTCTGTGAACGTTGAGGTGCATCTTAGCAATGAATAATATCCTAAAAGACCTCAGGATCTGTCTGAAAAATGGACTGCTCACTCTTCTCCATTTTAGCTCTCACAAATACTACATCAGTTAGGAATGGCTTGGTTTGTATTTGTGAAGAAACACTGTGAAAATTGCAAGGATATATCTGGCAAATACTTTTTTACATCCTATTGTGAAAATGGTATATAATTCATGTCTTCCTGGCCTTAAGGAAAAAAAAAAAAAAAAAAAAAAAAAAGCTAAAGCAGATATTTGTCTCCTCTTTGATAGTATTTTCCTCACTTCACAGGTAAAGGCATGGGGATAAGCCTGGTGAGGCAGGAGAGTAGAATGGATTAATCCCATCCCCAACGCTCAACTGCCCAGTGAATTGAGGGTGGACACAAGACCCAGCACCCTCATGCCACTCCTGGCATGTGAATCCCACCAGCACCTGGAAGAAGGAGATGTCCTGCACACACTTTGCTGGGGCTAGGGCTGGAAACAATTCCCTAGCTGATTCATTATCCTAGAGTCCCTCTCTAATTGTTTTAAATGAAGAGAGTTTTCATGTCACTTACATGTTCACATACCATACATGGACCTGTTGGAGTGCGTCCAGAGGAGGGCCACGAAGAGGATCAGAGGGCTGGAGCACTTCTCCTATGAAGAGAGGCTGAGAGAGTTGGGGTTGTTCAGCCTTGAGACGAGAAGGTGCCGGGGAGACTTTATAGAAGCCTTCCAGTACCTAAAGGGACTACATGAAAGCTGGAGAGGGACTTTTTACAAGGACATGTCGTAATAGGATGGGGGTAATGGCTTCAAACTGGAAGAAGATAGATTTAGATTAATTAGGAAAGAGCTCTTTACTGTGAGAGTGGTGAGACACCAGAACAGGTTGCCCAGAGAAGCTGTGGCTGCCCCATCCCTGGAGGGGTTCAAGGCCAGGCTGGATGGGGCTTTGAGCCAACCTGGTCTGGTGGGAGGTGTCCCTGCCCAGGGCAGGGGGGTTGGAACTCAATGATCTTTAAGGTTCTTTCCAACCCAAACCATTCTGTGTTAAAGGGAAAAAAACCTTACTCTACCCCTGCACATGCACATGCAAGGGGAAAACAGGGAGGGCAGTGCAATTGATAAAGGAAAGGTGGCTGTGACTCTTCTGCGACCGTCCCTTCCAACCCAAACCATTCTATGTTAAAAGGAAAAAAACCTTACCCTACCCCTGCACATGCACACGCAAGGGGAAAACAGGGAGGCCAGTGCAATTGATAAAGGAAAGTGGCTGTGACTCTTCTGCGACTTCAGAGAGCTGAAGGAGATGGGAATGTAAGAGGAGGCGGCTCAGGCATGGGAGGAATCACAGAGAGCAGGCAGGGGTGGGGTGGGATGGGGTGGGATGGGGGCTGTGCAGCCCAGCTCCTCTTCAAATAACCAAAGCTAAAGCTGAGCCAATGTGTGGCCACTCCTGAAGCATCCCCTTCAGTCTGGCCCCAGTGTCACTGCCTGCAGGAGCAGAGTGGCAGCTATAGATATTTTTTTCTTCTCCCGCGACATCAGTCAGAAAAAGCCGGCTTTTGCATGGGGGCGGGAGGGGGGAAGAGGCAGAGAGAGAGAAGAGGGAAAAAAAAATAAGCAGAAGTAATTTATTCGGGATCTTTGAGAGGATAATAGCCAATTATTTGTTTATAACACTGGTTAAATTTTCATTAGGCAGATTAATGGAATATCATGTACTGTCAACATTGGACTGAGGGGTGGTCTGTAAGAGATAAACGGGCAAACAGTCGATGTGTCTCCCTGAGTAAATTAGTTTTTGCTTTCCTGTTTTTCATATGAAAATGGAAAGGTGGACAAGGTGGTGCATTTTAAAACAGGTCTCAAGATGGGCCAAATCAGTTAAATATGAAAGCAATTCCGGTAATAAATACATTATAATAACTTAGCATCGTGCCTATCATTTTGATTTCATGAAAGTCTGGGATAATGTAGATTTTTAACCTGCTCTCTTAATACACATTTCCTCTTCCTGAACTTCAACGTTTCTTGCTGTGAGGTGAAAGCATATTACTTTTTTTTGCCTGATTTTTCTGTGTAATCTGTTCAGTATTACAGCTGGTAAGTGCTAGAGGCTCACAGCTCTTTCTTGTGAATTCTGGTATTATCATACTGGATAGCATGAGCAGTCCCCTCTAAGTACTGTATTATCAGCATCAGAACCCCTGAGTGGTTATGGTTGCATATCGTCCTCTTTTGAAGTCAGAGTATTTCTCAACGTATTAGCCTGGGATTTTCAGACAAGCCATGGAGAGGCAGAAACCCAAATTTCAGTGGGAGTCGGGCCCGTAAGTCCACTTAACCTCTTAGAAAAATCTCAGGACATTTTACAGAAGAGCAAAGCCATGCAGAGGGTCTCGTCAGCCTCATCACCTTAATTTGACCGGTGCTGTGTGGGCAAGTGGAGAAGAGAGGTCCTCTCCAGAGAACGCACAGCTCTCTAAATCACAACAGGTTTAAGACAGCCCCAAGACATTTCATTCAGACTTGACCGCTAAAACTTGCAGGGCATAAAAATGCCCTCTTGCTATTAGGAATGGCAAAGTATTTATTCCTGATGACACATTATTATCACAGTACCAAGCAGGTTTCCATTTAGAGACACCACTTGGTGACATTTGCTCATTTAGGTCACAAGTCTGCTCAGTTTTGAGGCTGCATAATCCTTCCAAGAATAACATTCATTCTTACACTTCTTAAAATTGCAATTTTAATAACCATCTCTACCACAATTATGTGATATTTTGTTTACAAAATCTCCAAGTACTTATATAACATGTTAATAAAAATTCTTAGACCTGGTGAGGGGACAACTCATACTTCTCACATGCTACCTGACCTCATCAGAACATCTGTAAAGGAAACAGAGCTGAGAATTATGTACCAATGCATGGCATCGGTCTAAAACAACATTCCTTGGGTTTGTTGTTGCAGCCTTCTAAAAAGTCCCCCTCTTGTGTGACCATAGACTTACCTTTGGAAGTCAATTTTCTTTATTTTCATCAACAGGGAGGCTCACGGTGCTCTTCTTCTGCCACGCAACATGGTAACTTGCCACATGTCAACAGAAGGAGCAGCAGCAGCAGCCTGGCTCCAGGCCATGCCAGGGTCTTCATACTGATCTCGAGGGACAAGAAAGTTGACTTCAGATTCTTAAATTCATTTATCTTTTAAATATTGTATTGCAGACAGTTTTTTTCCAAGTACAAGATGTTTCTTGATACTTATAAGATCATTCTCAACACATATAAGGTGTTTCTCATCCATAAATGGTTCCTACAGGCTTGATAGCTTTAACCATGGTTTATCCTCTCCCTGAAAATGTACCAGTGCAGCGAGGCAGGGACCCACCACACGTGAGTGGTCAGGTGTGTGTTCAGAAATCAGTTTGAAATCAACCTGAAATATCGACAGCTGTTGATAAACACATTGAGTTACCTGTATGATAAAAAGATACAGCTGGTACCTTTGACTTTCAGAAACTCAAAGGAAATTCTGTTTTCAAAACAAACAAGGTTTTAGGTCAGACTTGACTTGTTGTATAGACCCAGTTGCCCTGCTCCTGCAGGTATATGCTGTATGGAAATGGTTTTCTTTTTAAACAGGGACAAAGTTAAAAATTGAGACATATTCAAGAATTTCATTTTTAAAAATGTTTCATTTTTAAGGCAATGAAATGAACATTTTAAAACATTCCATTTTGATTATGTCAGAATGTTTTAATAAAAGCAGACATATTTAAAAAATTCTCAGAAGAATTTAATTGAATCAAAAACGAAACCAGAACAGCTAGTTCTGTTCTGGAACTAGAACATTCCTCTTGAATATAAACCTGTTTTTATCAAAATCAAAACATTCCTGAACAAAACCCAATGTTTTATGATAGGAAAGTCGCTGTGAAAACAATTATCAGCAAATATTACTGAGTTGCTGGGTACACGGTGCTGAAAAACATGCACTACTAAGAAGTGTTTTTTTTTTTCTGATATGACCAGTCCCACTGTGATAACCTGCTCATTACAAATGATTCTATTTCCCTTTGACCAGTTTAAATCTTGCCTGCTTCCACGAAGAAGCCCTTAATTGCACCCGTATCTAAGTGGTGTAACTGAGATCAGAACAGATCCCTAACAGCAATGCCATATGAACTATGCCAAGTGCCATCGTGAAGTATATTTTATAGTTTCCATTCTATTTGTGATGGAAAATTGTTGCTGTGATGCAGGATCTATGCTGGCATCTTTAAGGAGTTAAAACATTTGCTAGCAAAGTTATGGACGTCTGTAATGAATGGGATTATCTGCACTACTCATCAGTGCAGAAAGAATAACACTAATAATGCAAGTAAATTCTCATCTTGCAGATGTTTTTCTGTTTCATCTTGGAAGAGAATCTGTTCACTCATAAATCTTGCTTTGGTTAAAAAAAATAAAAACAAAGAAAGAATTAGTATTCTAGCAAGTCCTCTCGTCGGAATGACATTCATCATTTTCAATGTAAACGGAATGTTGCAAGAACTGATAGGCTCTATTTTTCTTGTACGACTTTAAAAGATATCAGAATTTTGGAGGGGAAAAAAAGAGAGTTAGTATGTACTTGATTTCAAATGCTGTGAAGTAGGAAGTCCATCCTGCAAACAATTCCTAACAGGCATGGTAACAACTAGCAAAGGTGTTACTCCAAAACTGCCAGCAGCAGTTTTGCTATAGTGCCACTGAAGAAAAAATATTCATTAAGAAAGGAGTTAACTCTCTCCCTATATTCATCCAGAGATCCCCCATTTGTGTGAATGGAAGATACACATGCATACGTGGAGGTATCTTTTTTCCTAACAAACTGTCCATACGATAAGCTCGTAAGGGTTTTGTGGAATATTTATATGTCCCTTGCTTGCTGTGAGCCAGACTTCTCTCACAAGAGATATAATTAGCAAAAGCATCAAAGCAGACATATTTTTAGCAAGTATCCTTCACTTCCACAGCATTCTTCCAAAACCTTCCATTTGGAAAAAAAAAAAAAGAAAAAAAAGAAAGAAAAAATCCCACCCATAAGGATGAGGCAAAATGTGAGATTCAATTTGTGCACACAGATATCTGCCATTTCAGAGAATGGCAAGTTTCCTCTTCCCTAAATGAACAGGTCTGCTTTCACTGAGGAACTAATGAAGTCTGACCCTCTATTAACTATAAAAGGAGCCTCAGTTTAGCTGGGTTTTTTAATCATGTTAATGCAATTTATCTACCGCATAGGGAGACTAATCTCCACAGTTCAATACGGTAGTTAAAATGAGGTGGTGTCTATACCATTTTGGGATTAGTAAATCTACCAGAGACTTGCCTTTTTCCTGGGATGTAATATTTTTCTTTTCAGGCCATCCTCATTAGTGCCCCTTACCTGCAGTACTCAAAATAACCATCAACAAACTGTATGCAAGCTGAGGCTTTTAAAGGGGACTAAATAAGTTAGGCTCCCAAATCCCATCAAAGGACAGTTGTGCTTGGTCTCTCATCAATCTTAAATCCCTTTGGAAATCCCAACATTAATACATGCTAAGGGATCAAATATGTCCTATGAAGCAAGGGGTTTGGTGGCTGCTCTGTTAGCGGAACAGAAAGAATAAAGTCACTCTCTGGTGACTCCCCAAAATACCTTCCTTCGGAACCGGCCTCATGAGATCTCCTGGCATGCTATCATACATTAGTTTCATTTAAAACAACTAATAACATCCTGAGACTCACAGATATGATCTCTGCTTCCAGTTATATTCAAGCCTCTGACGGCAAAATTTGGCCAACTCAGTTTTAAATACAACACCTAGGATGTTAACAAAATATGTTTCACGTGGCTGGTAAAGTGGCTGCTTTTTATTTCAAAGCCATTGACTTCAAAGGCTGCTCGGATTGTGTGTGTGTGTGTGTGTTTTCTTTTAAAAATCTTCATACTGTTTCTGTCTTTTTTTCTCACTATCAAATAGATCATTACATCTTCAACACTTAAGGACAAAAATTCTTCTCTCAGATCTGCACGGCAGATCTTGACAGTAATATTCAGCTCTTCCCCACATGCAGGGAACTCCTGTTGACATCAAGGAGAGAAATGGAGACATG